AAAATAACTATATATATATCTTTTCTTTTTCATTATATCTCTTTCATGTGTATCTCTCTCTCAAATGGATAACGTCTCTTGCGCTCAACCAAAGATGACTACGTGTAAGATCTTTCTAAGACACTACCGTGTAAGATTTTTTATTTCTCTTGCATATTATCATATAAGAGTTCTCGTCACAACCATGTAAATAGCCAAAATTAAGAGAAAAATATATTCATATTTGTTTTCTTCAACATTGTGTAAAATTTATCCACAATTTATCGTTATTACATTACTACTATTTTTTTTTGCGATTTCAAAATTGCTCAAATCTTCAAGATCTTGATTTTAATTGTGGATTTTTAAATCTTGAAGGGTAGTCAAGGCCTCTTTTTTTAATCATTTACTTCACAAGATTTTTGAATGTTCAATATCCGAATTTAACAAACATCATGATCCGGTAGAAAAAAGATATTTTCGGACTATGAAAATTCAAAATTTAATTTAAAAGTAAATTTTGAATTGAAATATGAAAATGTTTAGGGATGCTAAAAGCCTAAAATGCAATCTTCGGATTTTCAAAATCCAAAATTGATTTCTAAATTGTTGGGACACTAAATAGAATTTTTGGATTTTTAAAATCAGAAATTTCAAATTTCAAGTAAATTTTGGATTTCCAAGATCAAAACTTGTTGGGACACCTTTTTTATTAAATCTTATTCTTCGGACATTTTTATTTTTATTTTTTACATTTTTTATATTTTAAAATCCAAAAAATATAAATTTCAAGCAAATTTTTAGATTTTCAAAATCTGAAATTGTTGAGACATTCTTTTTTGTTAAATAAAATTGTTAGGAAGATATTTTTTTATGCAATTTTTTTATTTTTAAAATTTTGAAATTAAATTTTCAAATCAATTTTGGAGATTTTTGAATTGTTAAGGGATGCTATATCATGAACATCAAAAAAGGAAGGATAACCACAAATAAATGATTAGAAATCATGTTTTCTTGTTCTTATTTTTTTAATTTTATTCTTTTTTTGCATTTGTAGGTACTTTCTTTGCATAATTATTTTTTGTAAGTAGGATTTTTGCTTTATTATTTTTTTGTAATTAGGATTTTCAATTTTTTCTCTGACCTTCACTTTCAGTTTTTTGTTAATATCTACACCCACCAATGTTAAACATTTTGATTGTTGAACGATTTTAATTACAATCACATATTACATGTCTATTTAATTCATAGTTATACTTTAAATTTTTTATAATTATTTGGCCATAAATAGTAAAGATTGAATTCCTTGATTTGCATCGTTCATTTCATTGGTGCTTATGTGTGTAATGCTAATAATACACGTTTACCAATGATCATCAATTAAAAATCACGTGTTATCAATGATTGTTTGTTACCAATTATGAGACTGCTTATGTGTGTAATGCTAATAATACTCCTTTACAAATGATCATCAATGAAAAATCATGTGTTATCAATAATTGTTTGTTACCAATTATGAGACTACTATAAGTAAATCAGTAATTATCAACCTAATAACTATGATCATATAAATTGTTAAATTTAAAAATTGAACGTTATTCTAGGTGTACAATACAAAATAATATCTCTTTACCAATATTATATTATCTTTAATAAAAAAATTCATTATAAAAATAAAGGTTTTTCCTAATCTAAGGATATTAAAATTTAAAATAAATATTATATTTTATTACTTTGTATAAATCTAAATTTAAGAAATATATTAGGTTTTAAAAAATAAATTAATTCTTCATTTCGTAATTTCAATTTTAAAAATAAGCCATTAAGTTTTTCTTAATTTTTCAATATTGAAAATCTATAATTAGAGATAATTTATTCCTAAAACTACCATAGTTCTTATTTTTAGATTTTATTTTTGGATGAAATTCCAATGGCGGAGATTGGTTGCTTTAATTTTTCAATGGAATTCGAATGGCGAAGACACCCTTTGTACCCTAGAGATTGATTTTGAAGAAAAAATATTACTCAACTTGAAAACTATTGAAAACCACCCAAATTTCTACCTCTAAAATTTACAGATACCAAGTAAGAATGGATTATAACATACGATAAGTCACCAATAAAAAAAATCCTCAAAAATTACAACGATCACTTCCCTCTTATATTATCGGTGTGGTTATAATTGACCCACTGGACTGTTTCTTTGAATAATTTTAAAATTATAATTTTGTTCAAATATTGCTCAAAATTATAAATAAATAAAATTTATAAAAAAATTAATTCAAACCTTTTAAATTTTTAAGTATTGTGTGATTATCTAAATTTTTAAGGTGTGGCTACTTTTAAATTGAGAATATGATATTTGTTTTAATTCTCATTGCATATCTAAGTAATCTCGCATTGCAAGAAGATGTGATTAGTTGTGTGAAGACCTATCGCATATCAAAATACTATTTCATTGCATGTACTCTTAACTATGGCAAATATACCACAATATTTATGTCATTGCCTACTTAATTTCTACGTGCAATACATGTAAACCCACAAGTAAAACAGTAAATCCACAAAGGTCTAAAAAAAAGAAAATCTCATTTAAAACATCCATACGTTTTATATGCAATTGCTATTATCCTAGTAATGAGAGTAAATGATCACACACAGGACTCGAAAAAAGGGCCAATTTGAAACATACATGGGTTTTAGTATTTGTAAAACGTAAGTCACAATGAATGAAAAATTGCCTGCCTGGCCGCCGGCATAGGGGGCAATCCGAACCAAATGCGGCCTAGGCAGGGTCCCATTCGAAAATGTACTTAGGGCCCTAGGGCCACCAAGGTGGCATGATGATACACTTGGTAGAGGACTCTCATCCAAGGGCAAAAATCGACAATTTCCTCCCCCAAAAAGGGAGGGAAAGGATTTGGGGAATCATTTTAGCCACCCAAAACTTTTGTGCACATATTCTCCATGAAAAACAATCTCAAAAGTAAGATTTTAAGCTTTTTATGATGATTAATTTTTTTTTTCAAACTGTCCAATTTCGCAAGAAATAAAAAGTATTTAATGTGAAACTTTTTGCAACTTGATATAGTTACAAAAGAGGTCTTTCGGCAACCAAAGATCATTGATTTGAGCCCAGTTCATTGGGGTTTAGAGAGCTTTGTGTATTTCATTTCTTGGTTTAGGATTCTGTGATATTTATGAATATTAGGCTCTGATTTTCTTTTTCTCAATTGGTTTTAAAATTAGCTGAACTATAGAGCATATAGAATGCAAATTTAGTAATAAAAAGTCTAGAGACAAGGAAGTAGTTAAGATTGACGGCTAAGAAATGCCAAAAAGAGCACAATTTCGATATCTGGGGTTGATAATCTAAGAAAATTGCGAGATTGAGGAATATGTCACACATAAAATTAGACCCGGGTGGGCGAGGAGATGTGCAATTGGAGTTTTATGCGATCGCCGCATACCAATGAAGTTGAAGGGCAAGTTCTATAGGACAGCTATGAGACCAGCTTTGCTTTATGGGCAGAATGTTGCGCGATCAAGAAACAACATACCGATAAGATAAGTGTAGCTGAGATGATGAGGATGTTGATATGCCAACCCAGTACAGCACCAAGTAGGAGGTGCGAGTTGGTTCAAGTCAAAGGCTAAAAAAAAACAAGGGATTGGCCCAAAAGGACATGGTTGAAAGTAGCGAGAAAAGATATGGCACATTATAGCCTCATTGAGGGAATGGCCCTTGATAGAAGAGAACTGCATACCGGGATTTGTATAGACGACCCCAAATAGTTGAAAGAAGGTTCCAATGATGACGATGGTGATTTTCTTTTTCTCAATATTCTCTCTCATTTGAGTGTGGGTTTTATATTGAGTTTTTTTGACATTTCATTAAGATTGAGTAACTCAATCCTGAAAGGATATCAACAAACTCGAGTAGGTTTTTGTTTTACTTTATTAGGTTTCAGTCTTCAATTCAAGTTTCGCAATCATGTATGTCTAAGTTTGACCTACACAATAAAATAATACACACAGATGATTGTAAAACAATGTTTTTAAATGAAAATAAATGTTCTATACATTTAATCAGGGGGTTTTTAGTAACCGACAAAACTCCCCAATATCATCTTCAAGGGCCTAAAACACCTATTTATGTGTAGGCAGCCGAGGTATCTAGGCACTCCCTAGGCAGCCAAACCTCCCTTCTTGAACACTGGTAAATCACCCTTTGTGGGATTTGAACTTGCAGCCAACTTCTTTAATATCAAAGGTTCTACTGATATATTAAAGATGTTTGGCATACATTATGCAAAATACTATTATTAATAAGGTCTAAAAAGCACAATTTTGAAAAATAAATGAATAGAAATGCAGACATTTTCATGTCTTTCATAAAATAAATTTATATTTTTAAGTTGAAATTTTAAATTTCCTTTTATATTTTTTGAAGTTCTTATATGATTTATGTAGATAGTAAGTTTAATAGCTGTACAAAATGTTGCATCACACCAGGCTCTGGGATGAAGTACTAGACACCGATACACATACTACAAACTAAAACCGGTATAGATCTCCATGTAAACTGCCCTAAATGTGTTAGTTTGGCTGCTTGCATGATTTCCAATAGAATTGTAGAAAGGCTTAACATGGATCCATACCAAGCTTGGGGGATCATCACTGATTACGACTAAGCAAACAATTGCTAAGAATTAATAAAGAAATCAGTGAATATACTATACTCCAATGTGCCTACAGAAAACCATAATCCATTGGGGTTATGATCGTCCATCAAAATGAGGCATGGTGATGGAGAGAGTGGAACCCACCACAAAAGAACATGACCCGAATGGCAGGGGCTAAACTCTCACCATCCCTGTTCATCATTTTGCTGGATGATCATGACCCCTATGGACACTGGTTTCCACAGTCTATTTGATTATAATTTCCTAATCAACAATTTGATCAATGAACATGAGTTCAACTGTGTAAATATAATGGAAGGAATCCATGTTTCAAACCTGACAAATATTGCAAACCAAGACCAGCATTCGACAATGATGGCATCGGCAACGTGATGAGTAATCATCAAACGGGACACCGCAAAGTAAGCAGGAACCAACAATCTTTTTATCCGAACTTCCAACTGATATTCTACAAAGCACATATAATCATAAAAGTCAAATTCCACATTCCAAACCAAACCACATAGTATTCATAAGCAATTATAATGTAAACGGAATCTTGGAAGAACACCTGGGATCAAAAACAAAGTTTTTTCCATGGAAAAATCCACCATCTGGATACTGCTCCAGATACCTTTGAATACCACCATAAAGCTGCAAAGAAAACCACTGAATCAATTGAAACGACAATTCTCACCAAATGTTCAACAAAGTACCTAAAAAATATCTATATCACTAATATCAATTGTTTGACATTTCAAAAAAAGGTTGATTTTGCCAGCAAAGCACTTGTTTGGAGAGTGTTTTGCAACTTACCAGAACATCACAGCCGTGTTTTGCTTCTACACCACATCACTACGGCCCTCACCCACCATAAAAACTACAGAAAAACACTCCCCAAGTACAAACATAATTATTGATACCAGTATGTATAAATAACAAGCCAACTATTGGTAGACATAAATATGGCCCTCACAAGGAACTGGGAAGGGACAAACCACATGTTTCTCCGTGGTGGCCCTGCCACTACACTTCGATATCGAGGGAATTATTTTAAGCTTATTTCACATGAATTGGTCATAATTCAATCTTCAGAATTTTCTTAAAAGTGTTTTAGCCAAAGAGGGAAAAGAATTGGCCACTATCAGCCAATGGATAATTGGATTGTATGGACTAGATAAATAAATAAATGGGAATCTATGGGAAAACAATAAGAAAAACACATTTTCCTTAAATTAACATGGATGTTATGCGTTGAACAATGGTCAGATAAAGACTGAAGGTGCAAGGCCTTCGTGATTCATGGATGGATATTGATTAAGGGGCTTCAATCTTAGGGCTTGCCGCTAGGCAAAGTGGTCAACAATTGGCGTAGACATAGCAGTTTGGAGCCAGGGTTTAGCAAAGAAGAAGATAGGGCAGATCCAAACTTAGAGAGATGCAAAAATTAGAGATAAAAGGAGTACTAGCAGCTCTAGGCTTTTGAATAAAAGTCCAAAACAAGATACTTTATTATACTTAGGTACATCCCTTATATAAGAAAACCCTAAACAAGACTTAATCATAGTCATCTAATGTTTCAAAAAGCACTAGGTGGCACCTAGGCGGCCGTGGCAGTCCAGGCCGCCCAATGCCTAGGTGGGCACCCAGAACTTGGGCGCCCCAGTTGAAATAAAAAATATAGAATTTTGATACAAATGAGGAGAATTTTGATATTCTAACCACAAATATTGGAATTTTGATATTCTATCCATAATCCATAATTAATATTTCCATGAATGAGGAATTGAGGAGAAGTTAAGAAGAGAATTCTGATAATTCATAAGACCATAATCCATATCTTCATACAATGCAAAACAGTAAAACCATACACTGATAGTCTAATACACACAATAGTAAAATAATAGAAACTAAAAATAAGAATAAAAAAATACAGAAATTAAGAAAATATACAGTTTAGGACACAAAGTCACACAATAGTCAACACTCAACAGTCAACACTAAGAGTCAAGCACTCAAGCATCTTTCAACTCTTCATTCTTCAGTCATCATCATCATCATCATCAGAAGGAGTAGGGTAAGCCTCATCATATGCAACAGATTTGAAGCCTTCATCATCAAAGTCATCTCGCTCTTCAACATAACGCTCGTCCTCATCTATTTCTTCTAATCTGCCTCTTCTTCCTTCTCGCTTTCTACCTCCCTCTTACTATGTGCAGATGAGGCCCTAACAGTCCTGGCTGCTCTACCTTTTCTATCTTTTTGTGCTTCTCTGAACTCAAACATTGTATAATCTCTTCCTTGGTAGGCTCAAGAACATTTTTACACGGGGCAACAACCACTTTAATACCGACAAGGTGTTTTTGAACAAGTAAATAGCCCTATTAGTATCGTTTCCACAATAATTACATTTAATATGATTTTTGTCATTCGGCTTTAGGTTATAACCATACTTCCAACCCGGATCATCACTTCTAGAAGAACTTGGAGAAAATATTTCCATAGAACAAGGCTAATTTTCATCTTTTTTTGGTTCTTCTAAATTCAAAAATTGTTTAATCTCATCCCGAATAGCTTCAGGAACTTTTTTACAAGAAGCAACATTTTCTTTAATACCAAGAAGGTATGTTTTGAATCGGTTAATACCCCCTTTGGTATCTTTTTCACAAAAATTACACCTTATAAAAATTTTGTTGTTTGGTTTCGGGTTATGACCATACTTCCAACCCGGATGGCTTCTTCTAATAGAACCAGAAATAGACCTATTCAAATGACAATGATTTTATTCCTATATTTGTTTTACAAAACTCATATATCGTTGAATCTCGTCTCTGATAGCTTCAGGAATATTTTTATAAGGGGCAACATCCCCCTTAATACCGACAAGATGTTTCTTAAACTGGTTTATGCCCAATTTTCTATCTTTTTCACAATAATTGCATCTTATGCAATTTTTGTCATTCGGATTCAAGTTATATCCATATTTCCATCCCGGATCACCACTTCGACTAGATCCTGAAGAAGACATCTCAAAATAAAACAAGCAATCTAAAAATAAAGTTTTGGACTTACTTTAATTGCTCGAACTCCAAACTTCCACCTCTAATAAGTTTTTTTATGCTAAAATATTCAAAAACACCCTCTAAAAGGATTAAAAAACTCCAAAACTAAATCTAATATACCTAGGTGATGTTTGGATCTATTTCCCATAACTTTGAGAAACACTTTGATCCAATGAAAATTACAAAATCTAGTTTTTTTGAGGTTTCTCTATCTCTCAAATGGATTCTTGTGGGTTTAGGTTTCAAATGAACTTAAAACCCACCCTTAAAAGCTTTTATTTTTCAAAAAAGCTCAATAAAACCTAAAAAAAAGTCATTTCCGCCCTAAGCAGGGCGCAAGCCCTGGGCAGCCGCCCAGGGCTGGGCGATGGGTGCCCACCTCGGCGAGTGCAATACCGCTTAGGCGGCTTCCCCGAGACCACCACTTAGTATGGCCACCTTGGCCTGGGTGATGCACCCAGGCCTTCTGGACCGCCTAAGCATTGGGCAGTCCGCGTTTTGAAACATTGTGGCCATCCATCTAATCTAATCATGATCATTCATTAGAAAAGACTTTAAGTAAAAAGAAAGACAAAAATTCTAGAAATTACTACTTCAGCATTATCGTCAAAGCCTTTTTCCCAACCAATTGGGGTCGGTTACACGAATCTCGGTCCACCATTCTGCTCTATTAAGAAACATACCCTCAATGAGGCCATAAATCCCCATAACTTTTCTCACGACATATAATCATGTCCTTCTAAGCCTACCCCTTGCCCTTTTTGAGCCTTCCACTTTAACTAATTCACACCTCCTAATATGTGTTATACTGGGTCTACGTAGCACATGGCCAGCCCACCTAAGTCTACTTTCTCAAATTTCTCTCATCTTATCGTCTATTGGTGCTACACGCTCACACCTATATTCTCTCGAATGTATTCATTTTGAATTCTATCCCTTCTTGTCTATCACTCATCCATCCTCACATCATCATCTTAGCTACACTATTCTATTTCTTGACTATCCAATATTCCACCCCATAAAGTAAAGCTGGTCTCACAACTGTCCTATAGAACTTGCCCTTCAGCTTTATTGATATGCAGCAATCACATAAAACTCTGGTTGCACATCTCCATTTTGCCCACCCAGCTCTAATTCTATGTGCAACATCTTCCTCAATCTCTCAATTTTCCTGGATTATCGATCCAAGATATCGAAAGTGCGCTCTTTTTGGTATTTATTGACCATCAATCTTAACTACTTCCTCATATCTACTCCTATTATTACTTGCATTCTATATACTTTGTCTTAGTCCGGCTAACTTTAAAACATTTAGATTCTAGAGCATCCCTTCAAAGTTCTAACTGGTATTCACGTTATTTCGGGTCTCATTAATCAAAACTATGTCGTCCAGGGAAAACATGCACCACGGTACCTCATCTTGTAGGCGCCTAGTTAAGTCGTTCATAACTAAGATAAATAGGTATGGCCTGAATGCGAACCCCTAATGCAGACCCATTGTTACTGAAAACTCACTCGTCTCTCCACTAGTTGTTCGTACACTAGTTAGCACTCCCTCATACATATCTCTCATCAAGTCAATATAGTATCTCGAGACTCCTTCTTTTTCCAACACCCACCAAATCAAATCTCAAGGTACTCTATCATAGGCTCAATCTAGAAATTACTATTCATGACGCTAGTAAATAAAATGACTCAAGAAATAAATAAAAGATATAAATTCAATAACTATTTTGCCCTTCTGCGGTTCACCTTGTAAATTTTAACCTTGTTTTTCTCATCTAGATACTCAAGAATAATATTATGGGCTGCATCAACAATTCATCAATTGAATCCTTCAACTAAATCTAAATGGGATCTAAAATGCTCTCATGCATTAGCTAAGACGGTCCCTAACTGTCAATAGCTGGCCTGGACGTGAGTGTGGGAGATCGTTGACAAATTGGTCCATTTGGAGATAATTCTGCAATAAATATTTGTTGTAATCATAGGTTCATTGGTAAATTGTCAAGCAAATAAAGGAAAATCCTAAGGATCCCATGGAAGCCTTTAGGATAACTTCCCACCATACTTAGGTTGTAAATAGCACCCTCCAACCTCATAATTTTTTTCTTTTCATGTGATTATCGTTAAGCAAAAAGATACTCCCTACCTGGTAAACGTTCTCAAAAGCAGAACCTTTCATCCTAATATAAGCAGACGCCATTTCACATCTTATTCCACCAGTGCAGTACCTGCAATTGTAGATGAAGTCACACAAGTTAGATAGCGCTTGCTACGTATGATGTCTAAAGATTACCAAAAAAACCACGATCATCCAACTAGGAAAAAGAAAAAGAGAAAAGCAGATGGGTTCTTAATGAAGCATTATACAGCAACATTGAGCAAATAGTTTCCACGTTTTTTTTTCTAAACAGCAAATAGGTTCTAGGTTATAATCCCAATAACGACAATACGCAATAAAATTGGGAAGTTCGAACAAATGCTTATGCCCAACCTTATCCATAAAAGATAATGTGTGGGAGTATTTTTCCATTTCGCTTTTATTGATTGATGACCATTGACCAATTAGAAAATAGTGATGGACCTCGATGACGATTATGCAGACACGTTTTAGCCCAGATTATAATCATTTGAGGATTCAAACTAAGCAATGAATTCCATCCAATACACAATATACTGAAGCTTAACACAAGGGAAATAAAAATATGAACAATCCTAGCTTCCTAAAGTAAAATTTGTAGACCCTCAGTAATTCTTTGTTAACATTTTGACTCAGCTAATCCTACCGCCCTTTAAATTCTCTTCTTGGAATTTCAGAGGGCACAAGCCTTGCGTCAAAGGATATTCCTTGAGGAAATCTCTACAATATGTTTAACTAGCTGCTCCAACAACCTCTTCATCACCAAGTGTGTAACTCACTGTCCTTGGCACCATTCTTTACAGCAATCTCAGTAATAATTCAGCTCTGATGCCCCAAAACCTTTCCAATGTTCTTCTTGGAATTCTTAGGACTTTGACCTGATGCCAAACCACTTCTTTGATCCCCTTTGAATGCGTGGGGGGGGTACTCTTGTAGAGCTCGATGGGCACTTTTTTGCGAAGGGAAAAGTATTTCGCCGCTAGAGATGCGGCGGCAGGCGAGATTGAGCTCCGCCCAAAGCCGTTGAGCCCATTTCTCTAACCACCTGACGTCGTCCCGTCTTGGTAGAAAGCTTCCCACCAGGGAAGAAAGAAGTTTGGATTTGATGAAGAGGAGAAACAGAGAAGAGGTCCCCGAGGTTGCAGGTATAACACCAGAGAGGGGTGGTGAGGCACAGGGAGCTGGGGGAGGATAGGGCAGGGCTGAGGCTACAACCTGTGCGAACGAAGCCTTTTGTGCGACCTGAGCCTTCTGGAGGGTCAGCTTGGGTCCCCGAGCTGGTGGAAGCAGTGGTTGAGAAGGTGAAAGCAGTGGTTGAGAAGGTAAGGGTTTGGCGTAAAGGTTATAGATCTTGTTCTAGTCAAGGAGCGGAGGGAGACGCAGACCTCTTCATGATGGCCTAATAAGTGGCCTCGACATAACTTTAGTCAAAAAAAGGTCAAACTTTGTTTCTAAAAATTCTTAAAAGAAATTCACAATATAACATCAAAATATATAAAATTTTCTTAAAAAGGGGAGCTATTTTCCAAACAACCTAAAATCCAGCAATGAAAATAGATAGAGTTATAAAAAAAAAAACTAATGAGTGGTATCCATCCTTCCCAGCATGAAATCAAACAAAACCCCAAATGCAATTGTAGAACTTGTCAAAACTTTTTTTTATCCGAAATTTCAGTAACCCTAAAGCAAGCAAAAATACCCAAATTTTGTGGGGCTCGATCTACACAATACTAGGGTTTTAGACCTTAAATTGAATCAGTAATATTGAAGAATGCTGAATGCGGATTAGTTTGAACCCAATGTGAACAGATGTAGTTGAAAAAAATAAAAAATAAAAATGATCAATTTGCCGGATTTTGCCCAAAACCTCCCACAAAAACCCTCAATCAGGGAAAAAATAAATCAAAACAAAAAAAATACAAAATGACAATATAAATTTCTTTTATAGATGATTCCTAAAGTAGCCCCACCAAAATTTGAAGATTCAAAATCAAAAACTGTGACTCCTCAAATTAAGAAATAGGAACCCCAAAAACTGAAATTTTTATGTGGGTTTAATCGCTCATCGCTCATTGACGATTTGATGCTGTAGATGGTTGAAAGAGCTTGCTATAGAACCAAACTTCAAGAAATTTAGTTCAAAACTGGGGGAGAAACAAAGATTGTGTGGGTTTTGCAAAAACTGCACAAAAATGGAGATTTCGTATTGATTTCAGCCATATCGATATCAAAAAGTTGGGCTTGATCGATAGAATGCATTTTACTTGCATTATATGGATGATTTGATAAATAATTCAGCCAAATTATTGATTTGATCGTCTAAATTTATTTTTGAAACTGTTAACATTGTATTAAGTAAAAGATTATACATATTACAAAAAATTGCTATCCAAAGCATGGAAGCGCTATACAACCACCGAGGATGTGGCACATACAAAAACTGCTATACAAGCAGGAACTCGGTAATACAAAACATGGATGGTGATGCAAAAATCTTCAGTAGATGCTCTAAGACATCGCTTGGGATGCACCCTCCTTAGCCAGTGTGTCAACCGCTTGGTTGGCCTCTCTCCAAGTACGCTTCCATAAGACCTGTGTATGCCTGCAAATGTCTAAAATCTAATCAAACACGGTCATAAGTCTCTAGGGAGGAGTAGCCTCTCATGAGGCCCAGGAGATAACATTTCTTAAGTCACCCTCAACAACCAAAATTGTGCTCCAAGTGGGATTGAAGTTTTTGAGGCCTTCCAAGAGCGCATGGGCTTCCGCTGTGGTGGAATCCGCATGGCCGATGGAAGAGGCAAATGAGAGAAGGCAGGCTCCTTCGTGGTTCCTGAAGATGCCCCTGATACCCGCCGGACAAGGGTTGCAAAGAGAGTAACCATCGAAATTGAGTTTGGTTTGGCCAATTTCTAGTGGTCTCTAGAGGGAAGAGCAGGGGTACATGGGCCTATGGTGAAGGATGGTAGTCCAATTATGATGAAGGTCAAATACAGAGAGGAGCTTGAATTGGGTGGTTGGTGGCCCAAAATATCACCATGGATTTGATGGTCTCCTTTAAGGTCTGTCGATGAGACTTCTATCCCTAGAAGATTATGTGGTTGCATTCTCTCCAAATTGTCCATAAGGTTGCTGCCACAGCAGCCATTCAAAGCATAGTGCCTAATTTGGGCCAAGGTAAGAAATGCATCTGGTGAAAGAGCTACGGAACTGATTCGGGAGTCACCCGAGACCAACCGAATAATTGAAGCAGGTCTTCCCACAGTTGACTTGCAATACTGCAGTGAATGAACAAATGTGAATTTGTTCCGCCTCCATCAGACACATTGCACAGCGATTGGGGATTTGCATGCCTCATCTTTGGAGTTGATCCACCGTTAAGACTCCGACAAGGCAACCCCATTGAAGACCTAAATTTTGGGAGTTGATCCAATCGTCCGAATTTTGCAACTGAAAAGTTGTAAGAAGTGGAAAAATAGTTGCCTATATGAATTATTGGTGGATCTATCCAACTTTGGTTCATCCACCGATTCCGTCAGCTGGATCGCCTGATTCTGTCAGATGGATCTGATGATCCTAGCAAGAAGGCCAGCTCTCAATACCATATGGCAACTATACCGATTAGGAACGATTCTCAATCGGAATCTCCCGATCCGGATCGGCGAGTTTTAAACATTGATAGATATACAAATAGTGTACATAAAGCATGCATATATACACTCTGTATTTATATAAAGTGCTTATGTCAATGTTTGCTGACTCAAGCAAGTCTAACTTAGACTCACCCAAGAGTCGATCTCAGAACAACCTCCAACTTAGGGGACAGATATAATTGCGTTATAATTAATCATAAACTTCGATTCATAATTGATTCCATCTTTGACTCAATCAATAATAATTGATTTATATTTAATTTTGTATATACTTTTTATGCTTTTATCATTCACCACTTTTCTATTTGTTATATTTTTTTAAAATGTTTTTCTCATCTTTCATATACATTTCATGTTATTTATCTCTATTGTTTTTCCTAAGATTACCCAATTTTTGGGTTTTTTCCTCAATTTTTTTTGGGGGTTTTTTGCTCTGTAGCCAGCTTGGCACAAACTTGTTCGAGTCAACTCAGACACGCCCGAGTCACTCAGATCACCAAGGACCAGCGTTCCATGGTCGCGCAGTCGTTTTCAATCATTTAGAACACTGGTTTATATACATGTTATATACACAACCTTGAGCATGGCTTAGCCCAATTCATATCCAAGTCGCACCAAATTCAGGCCTCAATGACATAATTGGGGCTGCCCTAGGCCACAACTTGTTCATATTTTCAGGCCCAGGCTAGCCGGAAAAAAAATGGGGTGGGCTCAGGCCAGTTCTGGCCCTGATGGATCCCAGTCGGTTGGCACCCAGGAATATCCACCGAGAAAAAGTAGTTTCAACCATGGCAAAAAGTAGTTTCAACCAAGGCCAAGTCAAGAAGTTTAAATAGTAGGTTCTTCAATTACAGCGAGGCAAAAGCAACTGCTTCAAGTATGGCCCAAAGAAGTTTCGGTTTTAGTCGCTTCAACTACGGAATGAAAGAAGTTTGGCTTTGGTTGGTTGCTTCAACTATGGTGAACTGGTACGCTTGGGATGCAGAGAAAACATTTCTCAAAAATAATCAATAAAAAAGGAGGTGCAAAATCCTAATCCTGAGGAAAGAGAGGGGAAAGATCACCCATGAAGAAATTTAAGGAAGTTTCTTGATATGATAGGTTACTATTTTGGATTAGAGAGAGAGGATATTACATACATCGAGAGAAAAGGAGGAGGTTACCCATCCAGAAATTTTAAGAGGCCTCCTAAAAGGTCAGGTTTTGGAGAGAGAGAGAGAGAGAGAGAGAGAGATTACACAAGCATAAATTTTTAAGAGGGTTCTACACTAGACTAGATCTCTCTCTATATATTACCTGCCCTACTTTCCTTCTTCAATTAGGCTTCCCATCTAGTTTAATGTCATGTGTTCACCTTTTCAATTGTGGCTTATTATCTGTAGAATAGATAAACATCCCCACTGGCAGATATAAATAAAATGAAAGGCTACGCATATTGACTGATTTTCCAAGAGGAAAGAAACAAGTAGACCAACAAGAAATGGGAAGGTTCGAACCGACGATGTTACATTGTTAAACTATTGATAACAGAAAGTGCACCGGTATTCCAACATAGCAAATGCCTATCAACCAATTCACATAGTCCCACAGTTCATTTGCTTGATAAGGTATCTTTACAAGTTATAAGTGCACAATGGTTCCTGAATACTAAGTAAAATCATGATAAAGTCATCTATCTTTATTAAAGCTTCATTTCATCAGTAGTGGACATCACATGGAAACAATTACATATTCAACACAATTACAAACAGAAATGCCAATACTTACATGAGAATGCATTTACCATGCAGCTGCTCAGAAATATTGTCTATCCAAGTTGGTAGATCACTATACTGCCTAATTTTTGGCTCCAAGGTCTCAATATTTGGGGCTTGGAACTTCCCAATTCTTGTCTCATATACATTTCTTGCATCCAATAGAATAAATTTGTCATAAAGATTAGAATCCCTAGGGCCCACTCCACATTCACGTAACGAAATCAGGTCTGATCCCTGGAAGGTTCCATCTTTCTTGTAGTTCCCCCCTAAGGGCAATCAAGACAAAGTCATCATAAGCAACTCATATATATTTCAAATTTCCCAAACGAATATTAAGAGCCGCAAACATTCAAATAGGAAAAATAAGGAATCCTCATAAGAAAGATTTAAATCAGCCACCTGCAATCTGGAGAATGGAGTGAAACTCCACAGCTGTGAGATGTTTCCCAGCATTGGAAATAGTTGGGGACTCTATCCATGGATGAGAACTGAGAGTAACTAATTCCTACAAAAACATGAAGTATAAGATCGACCCCAAAAATGCAAACACCAGTGCAAATCAAACTTCTATAAACAAATATCTATGATACACCAGTTCGCATGTAGAGGTCTTTGTTAAACAATCAGTCCAAGTATAGAAATGTGGGAGCTATCTCCCGTTACAGATGTGGATGCAGCTAAGGAAAACTTTTGATATAGTTTTTGTCAATACTCATAAGATCCTTGTCAAAATGTTTACTATGCTTCCTAAGATCTATTTAACTCATGCAGTTCACCACACTCACATAAGAGCAATAGAAATTCCCACACGTTATCACATCCGGCAACATTGTTTTCATGCTTCATACATGATACATCATAGTTCATTAAACTCTGAGTGGCGTCTTAACCATCAATCTAGAAAAACTGAGTCAAGTGAGACATTTTTTTTTTTGAAGATGTTAACCGTGTCAAGTGAGACATTCTCACATCACATTTAAAAGATCGCCTTTATGTGACTTCAGAATAAATTGATTTGAAGGTGAAAACCTTGAATATCATTTTCACAAGGTGCGGAATTGTATATCTCAAATAAAAATACACAATTTTAACATGAGTAGTGAATTATCCATAATCAAAAAAAGCTTGTTCCTTTTCTTTATTGTCTCTTTCATCATTACTTTGGTGTTGGTGGGTTTGCTTTTCTCACCTAATGGGTTGTTTGGACCCTTAGAATATGCAAACCTAGGTTTGGAATTACAACTTGATTATGCTAAACCTTGGTTTTGCCAAACCTGGTTATTAGGAAAGAGTTGTTTGGTGATAGCTTTTGAATGGAACTCAAGTTATGCCAATCCCCTTTTTGGTGTCACTGGTTTATTACTTAAACTTATACATTTTCATAATATTTATAATTAATATAAGATACTATTATTTATTATTATAAGAACATTATTTTAACATTTTCTTGTTACAATATTACAATAGCAAAATTATTATAATATCATAATACTAATAACAATAATTTCTGCAACTAATATAAGTTACTGAGACTTATTCTAATAGTAATATGGTATTAATCATATTTTGTTTTTCATACTATCATATTAATTGTTTTAATAATGTTGCATTACTTATATCATTATAAGATAGTGATATTAATATATTATTCTTATAATATTATATATCATGATATCTAATATTCATAATACTTCTAATTTACTTTTGAGTGTATATTTCTGAAAATAACAACAATGTTAATGCTAATATTAATATTAATAATATGCTATCATTATTTATTATATTGTATTACATTAATATTGCACATTATATTTAAGACTTATTATAATGCTAATGGCATTTTGTTTTAGCAATATTTTATTACAAATATTATTATACGATACTAATATGAAGTTTATATTCTTCTAGCATTATAGATGTGTGTGTGCGTACATGCGTCGGTCTTTGTGTTTCTAACACCCCAAGTGAATAAAAGATTGCTTATGTATAATCATTTTATGCATAAGACAGGTTTTAACTTTTGGTAAAGTATAGAATGAGAACATTTACCTTTGGTACAAGGTGGTCACATTAATCTTGACCATTGGATGTGAAATTGGGTGGCTGCAATTATTCCATTGACCAAGCTCAAACTTCAAAAGAAATTTTCTTGAACTTTGTGAAACATCCAAGCTATCAAATTTCACATCAGATGGTTGTAAGTAATTGTAACCTCCATGTATCAAAGGTAAATGGTCTCATGGTATACAATCCCTTAACTTTTGTTGCTTTAAGAAGTACTTTTTGCTTAGTAATAATCTGATTTTAGCAATAAAAAAGTAGCCAAACAATTTTCTGGATTGAGATATGTCTTGAGTATGCAAAACCCGAGTTTGCAAACTCAGGGATCCAAACAGCCCATAAAGCAAGAAAGCCTAAATTGTCTTGTGAGAAATTGAAAAAACAAGACTCCTACAAGTGACATGTTAGGTCATTTCATAGCACTTCATTCTGACCAGAAGTATTTAAAAACTCAGTGAGTCCAACTCAGGTTGTTCAAGTCACTCAAAAACAGTAGGGAGCGAGTTCCAGATGACCTGACTTAGTTGACCCAAGTATTGACCGAGTCTGGTTGAGTCTAACATAATCTTGACCAGTCTATCGGGGTATTTAAGAAAACCAGTCTCTCCTCAGAGTATAGACTGATCAAACTCAGGACTTAGCAAACCATTTGGACGTGCCCCATGCCTGGTTCCGTGTTTTTAAACACTGACCATGTACTATGTCACTCGATGGGATGCTCAATATGTTCATGAAATACCTCATATAACAAAAACCCAACAAGATTATAACTTCACAAAAAAAGTATGTTGGTTTCATCCATCTCCTCACAATAACTACTATATTTAACTTTTCTAGTGTAGGATGGGCCAAGCCATGTTAATAACAGAAAATCAACAATAAGATATGATCTTTTAGTTATCTTGTAGACAGTAACAAGTATCATATCCCTAAAAGCGTGAATGGGAGTCAAGCCATGAAATTTTATCAGAGAGAAAGAAAGAGAGGAAAACCATTAAATCTTAGAGAAGAACCAAATACCATTCCAACTATCAAGTCTATGAGCATAACCAAAGTCATGGCCCCTATTACAAGTAGGAATGGTAAATTGGAGCTGGTATCAGAGATGCCACAAACTCACAATAGATCATGCTTGAGATTGAAAATGTCTTGAAAGAAACAAACTGCACTATATTATCTTCTTTTTTTATAGAAGTTAGCAAGTCCAATGACTTTGAAACTGCTATCCAATCGAAGAATAAAGCATAGATAAAAGGATCACCCATCTACTAGTGATCAACTTTAGAATAGGTTGAGCTCTGAGCATTTCCTTAAAGGTAAAGATTGCAAAAACTTGAAGTGCTAACCAAAGCTATTGAGTTAAGTGACGCCACAAAGTTGGTTAGGATCTCATAGAGGCCTTCATGACCCTCACCTATAAATTGAATAACCACTAAAATCTCTATTAGGCAATGACAATTCTGCAGTCAGTCACATACATGTTACCAGCTATCAAGAAAATATTCCAATACCCAAATGATGGGGCACAACATCAGTCAGACATGGACCCCATTTGTCAAGATCCAGGCAATGCTTGACATCCACTCTCAAACTTCAAAAGGAGCATTAAAAGCATGAAACATTATAGATTGTGCACATTTCATTGCATCAAGACCACCAAACCCTTGTAAGTTACTATATCGGTTAACATAGAGTGTAATGGAGTCTCAAGACACAAACTCTACCAGCAAACTAGAGCTATTGAAAGGCTCCACCCGATCCTCTTTTCTATCGAGGTCTTTAGTTGATCTATTGAAATGCTCTACCAATAGGGCCTTTTGGAAGGCTTTAGGGTAGGCAACCAAGGCCAATGATCTCATGCCTCCAATATGCCGGTGATACCCTCATATTTTGTAATGCAACCCAACAAAAAATAGATACCATGTGGCTTTTCCTAAGATGCCTGGAGGTTGCTGCAGAATTAAGATCGATATCACGAAATGACAAATCATGGGAGTGGCAACTAACCCCCAGACTGTTTAAGTTCGTGCCCGGTATTTGGGCTGCAGGGTTGATTGTCTGCCCACCAAATACCTAGGTTTAGCTCTCTGTATTGGTAAGCTGACAAAACAATTATGGAATCCCACTGTTGAAAATTTTCAATGCAAACCAGCAGCATGGAAAGGCAGATTTCTCTCAATGGCAAGGGGCCTAACACTAGTCAAGGCCACCCTCTCCAATGTCCCTGTTTACCAAAGGCCCCTCTTCCAAATTACCTTGTCATAGTTCGTCTTAACAGACTTATGAGTAACTTTTTTTAGTAGGGTATGGAAGACAACCACAAGTTTTAACTTATAGCCTTGGGACAAGGTTTGCCTTCCCAAGAAGTAGGGGGACCTTGATATCCCAAGCCTAAAAAAATGCAACATGGCTCTTTTTGGATAATGGTGGTGGCGCTTATTAGAAGGCCTCAGACACTTTAATCCGTTTTGGGGATCCTCCCTAGTGGTGGAGGGAGACTCCTCCAATGTAATTCCAGGACTTCGGGTGAGGCCACCCCACCCTCGCGTCTCGCTTCAGCTTTTGGTGATATCTCCAACATTTGCAGGTTTACACAGGTTTATTGGGTGCATATTTGGCGCACGGCCAACCACTCGGCAGACGCTCTTGCTAAAGAAGGTGCAGCTATGGCGGCTGTCTAAGTCTGTTGCCACCGGCCCTTTAAGAAGCCCTCTGTTTCTGGGGTGTTTTTTGACCACTGTGCTTGTATGGCTTTTTGCCCACCACTGGCTAGGTGGTTTTTAGTATAGAGCTCCCAACATGTGGGTATCCATTTTTTGCATATATGTACACATACTTCTCTTAATACAAAGTCAACATACTTAATAAAAAAAATGGTGGAGGTGCTTCGCAGTTCAAGAGAACCACCTATTGCAGGAAGTTGTTTGACCAAAACACCATTATGAAGCTTAGTCTTGGTTGCCAAGCAGCACTTCCAATGGATGTTCCTATGGGGAGTGGCTTTCCTTAGTTGCCACCTTCAAGCACTTTCAGTCAATATTCAATTCAGGGTGAGATCCGTCAGAGTAAAGTTTTGGATTGACTTATGGATCGGCAACTCTACTCTTTAGGTCCACTTCCACAACCTCTTCCTTGTGACCATGGATCGGGAAGCCATGGTGGCTGATCTACTTGAGCATTTAGGGCATCAAGAGTATGGAGCCAAAATTTCAGAACGGCCCTGCCAGAGCATGCAATTACGGATTTCACGACACTATCAGCCTTGCTACAATCAATCTACCTCCCTGTAGCAGGTGAGGCTTATATCATATGAAAGCCTTCTCCTTCATCGAAATTTACGGTCTCATATTTCCATCACAATCTCCTTCAACCACCTACCCGCGCCCACTCACCACCTTCTTTATCCAACAAAGCTTGGATTACCTCCATCCCCCCCAAATCCATGTCTTTTGCTGAATTGCCATATCCAAGAGGACCCTTGCGGTTGACCAGTTATAAAAAGGGATATTCCTATTCCTAACAGATGAGTCATGTGCAGACCAGCAGAGGAGAACAGTGAACACCTCTTTGTACATTGAGAGTTAGCTTCTTGCACGTGGCCAAGTGTACACATTCCTCCCCCCCCCCTCGTGGAGGGCTGCCGCCTTATTCCTTTGGCGAGCAGGAGTTGCTGCAACTAATGGTGATTTGGATCAGAAAAAACTCTAAAACCTCTGAAGGAAAGGAGAATACAGCCAATACCCTAAAGGATCTCAACAAAGCCTTGGTTAGTTTTTGGGCAAAGAACATCAAAACTTTCAAACACCATGTCACACGGATTTCCTTCACAAATGGCATCCTTGATAGAAATAAGGCCCACGAAAATCCATAGATCTTCACTATGGGCACCTCAAGCTCAACTTTGACAGTTGCTCTCTTGGCAACCCAGGTCCGGCAGGCTACGGTAGCCTATTTACACGTAGGCAGCATCTACTCTCTTATTTGGGTTTTATTGGCCACACTGACTCTCGAAAAACCGAGGTCAAAGCCCTTATTGAGGGCATCAAAAGATTTAACACCGAATATCTACCCACTTAATAGTTGAGGGCAACTCTTAAAGCATCATCTCTAGGGTGTCAAGTGCATATACCTGCTGATGGCAACTATAGCATATCTTTTCCCACATTTTTTATTTACGCATGCCTAGACACATCTTTCAGTATACGTGGCGCAGGGTAAACAATGAAGCTGATAGCCTTGTGAAAAATGAAGCCAATTGTGGAACCAGCAATGGGATCAATTTGGCACCTTTATGAGCTGCGGTCCCCTATTTTTTGTGATTACACTGAAGGGTTATCCACCCAGTTTTTTGTATAGAGAATGTTAAAAATATCTCATTTTTTATACGCATACCCAATATATGGAACGCAATACCCCACTGCCATAACTCTTCTTACTTTTGAATCCTATCCTTAACTTTATTAAAAAAAGGACGCAAACTCTACCAGGTCACTCCGATCACCCTAGTAAGGAATATTCATACATAACTATCAAAATAAAATGTATCTAAAGGCGTACATCAATCAAAAATCAATATCACCACCACATTTAAGTGAGTCGAAAAGTCTGATTTTAACAAAGTTAAAGATTACGAGCATTACAAACAAAAGGATCATTTGGTATCAAGTAAAACAAACTACATATCAAATATATGCCTTTCATTGCAGCAACAATTCAGTTCCATAAGAGAGATGGGAACCTTAACAACTCGAATAGAAAGAGAAGTGAATCCACACTCTTTAGCAATCGAAATATTCTTTGGAGAATGGCATGAAGCAAGCTTGAAGTCACATCCTTCAAATAAGGCATTAGATTGGACTGCAGCCATATGTTTCTGCAGTGATGAAATTTTTCCCCCCACCTAATCAAGAAAACATGCATTTTCATTGAGAAAGTAAAAAAATGCATACAATTATGAAAACAAATTGTAGGATAATGCAAACATGTCCACAGAAAATCTAGGCAAGAAGTTTCAATAGTACAGTGAAATCGATAGAATATATACAGATAGACACAGGGAGCACTACAAGTGTCTGCAAAGCAATTCATAGGACAATGAATTTTCAGTGGTTAATCTTATTGAAACAGCAATTGTCTAAATAGTGATCAAATAGAGAGAAGTTCAAGTTCAACCCCAATTTCAGAATCTCTAGTTATTTTTAAGTTATGATAATGAGAAGGAAACCAGCATGCAAACTTTTCTCTTTGTTTGGTTTTTTTTTTTTTGTTGTGGGGGTGAGAGGCTTGGGTTAGAGGGAAGGTCAGCAGAGAGATTCAAACTTAGAATGAAGTTGTTAACTTAGAATGAAGTTGTTACAGTTGTCAGCACCATAACCAATCAAGCATGCCCAGATCCAAAAAACAACGAATAGAAAATATTGCTAGGGGTGGAATGGGTTGGTTCAGGTCCGGGTCGACCTGGACCCGGACCCAACCCAACTAGGTTTAAATTAGACCCATAGCCAGGACAGTTCGGATCATGTCCGGGTCTAGACATAAAAAAAATGTATAGATTTAAAAAAAACTACTTAAAATAATGCATAATACATATTTATTATATATTTATATGAACCTTACACATAAATACCAGGTCAGGTTGACCCCGACCCAGACCCAACCTGACCCAATAGGGTCCAAGTTGGACCAAGACATTGGGTCTATTGGTTGGATCCAGGCAAGGACCTGATCAGGATCGAACATGGGTCAACCCGACCTGTTTCCCACCCTTAATTATTGCCAAGTTTTCTCCACCCTGAATTGTCACAAATAAAAATGCAGATTCAAGCCACTTCCTTTCAGAGAAAAACCACTGTGGATTCTAGGGTGTACATAATAATACAATATCAATGTCGCTTACGTCAAAGAGAATTGTAGAATTCTGGGTTTATGGTTTAGTTCAATTAAGTTCCTGGTGATGTAAAATCCAGGTGCTAGTTCTGCTGGAGTGGTTAAATGAATCAAAATTCGATAAAAACACATTTTTGCAGGGTTCACTATGCAAAATGCTCCATTCCCTAAAAATCCGCCTAATCCCATCAAACAAGCACAAACTACATCCATGATAATCCATAACATGAGGAATTTCGATGATATAAAAGAAAAATAGGCCTTACCGTGACATTGACACCATGAGGAGCAATACGCACACGACCCAGAAGTTGAAGCGATGAGCAATTCGTTCTAAAGAAGTGAAGAAGAGCATCAAGATCAGGTATTGTGGCATATTGATAGTACAAAAGAATTCCATGCTCTTCTTCGTCTTCCATGGTCTGTAAATTATGAACCCTAGTTTGAGTTTGACTTGGCGGCTAACGAAGAAGAGAGTGAAAACGGATACACTTTTTAGTAGTTTGCACGTGAAAAAATATTGGAAAATTTATTTATGATGCAGTTGCCATAACGCCAGGGCTTTATGAGAACAAAGTAAAGCCTCACCTTGAATATTGTCCTAAAAAGCACTTTGGGCACCATAAATCTCTATGCCGGCTCCAAAACAATTTTCAATGTCGACTATGAAATTAGAATCTCAAACATTGGAATAGATCTTATAGATCCATGAACACTTATTTTACGGTGAAATGGATGGTCTAGGTAGTGTGCTATAATATAGATTATTTTTAGGATTTAAAATTCTTCTTTTTCTTCTTTTTCACAACCATAGTGGGTTGAGATGGTAAACGACGTGCATTCCGACGATGCTGGCCACTTCCTTTTCCCAACCGTCATTTCCTTTGCCTGCTCCTCGTAGAAACTTCCCTGTTTGCCCTTCGTCTCGGTGTGGCTTATAACCTTCCTCGTTGTTACTAACAGCCGTTGTTCAGAGGTTGCTTTCATTCTCCTGTTGGTGGCTGCTGCGAAGATGTTCCCCCTTTTCTACCGTATAGCGGCTAGAAGGACTCCTTCCTCCACTAGACCGAAGTTTGACCCTCTGCTTATTGATCCATTGGAAGTGATAGTGCTTGACGACATGGACGATTCTACGGCTCTAGATGGGGAGGCTCTGCACCCTGCACGTGACGTTCCACCTCCCGTTGCTGAAGAAGTCGACACTGGTTTAAGGGTTGTTCACCCTAACTGTGTGCTGGTGGTAGTGGATGCTCTGCCTCCTCTCGCGGTCTTCCATTTTGATGTTAACCCCATGTTTTTTCATCTTACTGCTGCCCCAGTGCACCCGTTTGGCTTTCTCACGGTTGACCTAGCTCCTACTATGATGCCCCATGAAGTAGTTGTGGCTGCTTTGTATGAGCAACAGAGGGTTGCTGGTCAGGTCATGGATTGCGGCTTGGACTACGATGTTCCCATTGCGATGGTGTTTAAAGACATGCTTGATAAGAAGAAGGATGATAAAGTGGATAATAGCGGTGCTCTCCCTTCGAATTTGGCAATGGCGGCTCTTTCCCTAAGGGCGGGCCAAGGGAGAGATAAGAGCATAGTACCGGCAAAAGGGACGAGGTCCTCCACGAGGCTGCAAGCTAGGGAGGAACGTTGCATTGCCCCCGCTGCGAGGGGGATTGTCTTCTCGGATGTGCAGGTGTCTGAGGTTGCGGGCTCGACGGCAGGAGGTTGCAGGCCTTGCTACCGGCGACCAGGCGAGGAGCGGCCCAGATTCCTCTTCTCTCAACCCTTCTCCATGAATATTTTAACTTGGAATGTTAGAGGTCTGGGTGACCTCAACCGTAAGAAGGATGCCTTGTTTTTCGGTTTCACGGTTTAGACCCGCAATTTTTATTTTGCAGGAAACCAAACTTCCCCGTCCCACAATTTCTAGTGTGAGGGAAGTTTGGGGATCCGAGTTTGTTGATTTCCTAGGTATTGACTCTGTGGGTGCTTCGGGTGGTTTGTGGATATTGTGGATCATGAATAGGACCCAGATTCTATGCGGTAAAGTCCGCATATAATAAATGCGGGCCAATTAATAAATATATTTTTGAGATGGATTTTTGGACTTATTTTTTCAGGACATGTAATCTCTAACATGAAGATCATGAATATGAAAAAATAAGTAAATTTAAAAAATTAAAAATAATAATTCTAGTAAGAAAACATTTGGACCGTTAATATCAATTATTTTTAGAAGGAACACCTACTTGCATCCATCTTTAAGATGGATGCTTTACACTTTTTGGACCACATATATAGTCATATGGTCCAACCCGCATGAAACAATTATATATATATATATATATAAAATCTTTATTTTCTTGGCTATTGTTAAAGGTAGGAGTGGCAATGGGTCGGGTCGGGTTCGATCCCGGACTCGGAACCAACTGGACCCGACCTAAATATATAAAATATATATTTAAATATATACATGTATTGTTTTGAATATTATAACTAAAACTATATAGTTATATTTATTTAAATATAATTTGAATAATATATATTAAATATTAAAGCTATCCGGGTCGGGCCTACGTGGACAGGATCCGACCCATCGGGTCCAATTTTTGGACCCATACCCATTGCTACCCCTAGTTCAATTTTCTAAAATCACAAGAATCTCCATTTAAAACCATTTCTTAATTTAGAATTATATATATATTTTTCCCACTATGAAATTGTAACAATCCTAAAAATTTTTAAATAAAAAAAACAAAAAAGAGGAGAAAATATGCTTTTAAATAGGTGATGGTCTGTTTGAGTATGATGGTCCTTGGGGACCATCACTATTTTCAAAAAATTTTACTTCGTTTAACTTTTGCTTGCCTGTTTTGCTTGCTTGCTTTTGCTTCCTGCTTGCAGCTGCAACGTCCTTTAGCGGACGTGGTTTTCGTACGATAAAAGTCTGCTTTTAACGCGACACCTCAGGTATGAGGTAGAGCGTAATAAAACAATATAATAATACGTTATAAGAATTTAAATAGGGGATGTGAGCACTCCCACCCTAAAACAAAATTTTGAGATCTCTCTCTCTGGTCGAAACACAGTGAACTTCTCTCTCGAACCGAATTTTTTTATCGAAAGCTCCCTCTCAAATAATTGTGGGTAAGTGACATCGTCTTTCTGAAAAATAGTCTATTTTTAATAAATAGTGATATTTCCGTCTAGGATCTTTATTTTATCAGTTTTGTGTGTAAGTGACCTCATTGTCTCGAAAAATAATCCATTCTTTTTAAAAATAAAATGAAATAATTATTTCTGCTTATTATCATGAATTTTAGGCGCGATAAATTTTATGCGCACGTGACCTCATTATCTTAAAAAATAATCTTTTTAATAAACATTGTGATATTTTATCTATGTTAGAAATTTTGAATGCTGTAAATTAGAAAAATAAATTTATTTATTTTTCTTGTCTATTGGTAAAAATAAATGTGATATTTCTGCTTTTAGTAAAATTGTGATATTTCTTTCTACTGTTTTGAATATTTAGACATTGTAAAAATTCATGTGCAAATGTCTGCCTTATTATTTAAAAATTGACATTTTTGCAATTGATTATAGTATTGTTGTGAAATGTTTATTTGTGAATTGATATTCCATAAATTGTGATCATTTCGTATTCTTGAATTTTTATAAGAGTTTTTCTATACATATTAAATTGGCAATTATGCTAGAATGCCTTTGCAAACTGCTACCTTTCTAAATTTGAGCCCAAAATATTTGATTGGTTATTTTTGAAATATTATAGAGAGCGACT